CGCCGCCGCCCGCGCCTCGCTTCTTATCCTCCTCCTTCTTCCACTTCATCCTCCGGTTCTGGAACCAGATCTTGATGTGCCTCTCGGTCAAGTTCAGCATGACGGCCAACTCCACCCGGCGGGGCCTGGAGATGTACTTGTTGAAGAGGAACTCCTTCTCCAGCTCCAGCAGCTGCGCCCTCGTGTAGGCCGTCCGGGTCCTCTTGTTCTCCTCGGGTTCTACCACGTACGAGCCACCTGAGGAAGAACGAGAGTCAGACACCGCCCGGGCTGCGAAAGCGCGGGCTGGATCTTAAGGACTAGAAACTTGAGGGCAATACCAGAAACGCCTGCGGACCCCCTACCTCCGCTTTGTTTGCAGTCGTTCGGGAAGAAAAGAAGGCACTCGCAAGACGAGGATCTATGGTCGAAAGGAGGGGCTATCTAGATGACTGATTAAGCCTAGCTCTATACAGCACCTAGCTAACCTCGACTGATCACGAAAAGCCAACTAGGGTCTGATTGGGTCAGTACTTGGATGGGATAGCACTAGGAGAACCTAAATGGTAGACTAGACTAGGAAATTGGAAAAAAAAAATATTCTGAACTGTTACCAAGCAAACTGCATAGATGTGTTCATGGAGACATCGGGAGTTAAGCTTGACTTAAGAAGGTCTTTATCCTTTGGGGGAACAGAACTGAACCTACCAGCCATCTAAAATGGTCACCAGTTACAATTACGGTTCAAAAATTGGATACTTCCCCCCCCCCCCCACTATTACCAATACATCTTTTTTTCTCTTATTCATACCCCTTTCTTTTTTATATATAAAAAAGAAAGGGGTATGAATAAGAGAAAAAAAGATGTATTGGTAATAGTGGGGGGGGGGGGGAAGTATCCAATTTTTGAACCGTAATTGTAACTGGTGCCCATTTTAGTTGGCTGGTAGGTTCAGTTCTGTTCCCCCAAAGGATAAAGACCCCAATTGTTAATCATCTTGCCTGATGCAACTTGAACATCCCCTGTAGTCTTAATAAAAGCATGACCTCTAGGGATTTGAAATATTCAGCAGCACCCTGAAGAAACAAGTCCAGATCCTGATATGCAGAGTTATTAGATGATCATATATTTCTTTTTGAGAACTTAGATAACTTTTTCCCCAACTAATCAATGATTAAATTATATCTATATCTATAAAACAAAGTGTGTAAGTGTGTGTTTGAGCACTGGTACTGTATTTTCAGCTTAATTTGTTTTTGCAATAATGTTATACAATTAAATCAAAATAGATTTTATTTATGTAGGAAATCGTAACTTGGTCCCTGAATAAAATTCCTCCTTGCTGGATAAAAATAAGATCCACTTTCAGTTGCTTGGCATTCTTTCCCAACAGAAAATACCCTGGTATTTGGGGCAGCTGCTTCTATTAACTTTGTATTTCTATTTGTAAGAAACCAATAGAGGGGGAAATTGTTATTTGCTTAAAACACAGCCTCACCCTCCAAACAGGTATTCGCTGGATTCGTTGCTCCGTGGAACCCCTTCCAACCTTTCAGTGCCCGTAAGTAGAAGGTAGAAGACACAAGGCATTTCGCTCTTGCAACAAAATGTAGAGTTAGGGAGGGTTTCCCTGTATGGTTTCAGCAACTACCTCCCTCTCCCATCCCACCTTTCCAACTTCAGAATTTTTCTGAGGTTGCAAAAGATACACTGGTGCCAGTAACTGGCTCTATATTAAAAATTCCCCATCTTGGGTCTTTCACTTTCATCCCTGAGCTGTTAGGCTATGAAGGGTCCTTGGTCTGAATCAGGAAAGGATCCATGTAAAAGTATACCATAGTCCCGCTTGCCTCTTTGCCCTGGAAACGCATTTCCATCTTCTTCCTCTTCCTCCTCCTTTTCTTCTTTGTCTCCCCCTCCTTCTCCTCTTCTACTTCTCCTCTTCTCCTCCTCTCTCCTGCTCTTCCACGTTCCCTTCCTACCTAACCATCATCTAACTAATCCATCCTCTTCTCCCACCCTGCCCACTGGGTAGAACTCCCACCACCTCAATTTCTCACACCAAGATCCATTATGACCATACAGTTTTCAAAATGTTTCTCATTTTCTCACCTAGGATTTCTTGGAGATTCTTCCTGTTCAGGTAAAGTACTAAAGTACCACCGACTCTTCCTCTTCCAAGTCTTCCCTTGTTCTCCATTTGGGAAGATTAATGGCATTTGGTCTCTAGGCACATGAACATGGGCATATTTACATAAGCCTGAACAATCTTTACGCATTTGCCTTTCTCCCGAGTTAATTAATGAAAAAAAAAAAACCCAAGGATGGGAGCCAGTGCGTTTGTGCTTGCATTATGCCCAGGGTTTATATAGGTCATAAAGATGCAATAAAGAAAGAGCGTGTTCCTCTTCAAAAGACGAATCATGCAGCTGCAATGAAACACTTGAGGACACGCTTCTGGCCACCCTTCCTTGGGATTCAGCCCCTCAGAACTCAGATGGACACATTTCTCACTAGTCATTGTCTCATTTGCTGATCGGAGGCACCTTCGACAGGAGGCAGAGGCCGGATTCTAATATTATGCTTAACCTGGGTTTGCCAGCAGGGTTCACGTAGCCACCTCAGGAATAAATCCTGAAGTACAATAGTTTACAACAGTTGGCCTTCACACAGTCTTGTTGGGGGAAATAAATCATAGAATCATTTCAGGTTGACCGTATCTGGTTTCATGTCAGTTGAAGGGAATGCAGATAAGCAAAATGAATATGATTGCTGAGCAAAAGAAACTTCCTTAAGTTGGGGAGAGGGGGGGAGAGGAGGATATTTATATTAAGAATTCAAGGGCTTATATCCAAGGAAACCTGCACAGAATTCCTTAGTAAGATGCCATATAGGAAACTTAAAAAAAAAAAAAAAAAGCATGATCACTGCAGTGTATTAAATCCTTTTGTAATTAAAAAAAACTTTTCCAATTTTGCTCCTTATTTTAATGTTTAATGCCATTATCTCCGGTGTTTTTCGTTTGTTTTCCTGTTCAATTCTTCTGCCACCACTTTCTCTCCGCTCTTCTCTTTAAATCCAGAAGCACAGTTATTAAATATCCTCCTATTATATTAGGAAAGTTACACGGCTTCCCAATTTTGTATGCATATATCTGAGTTGCTTCTTCGTGTCGCCGGGCGGAGCATCTCTTTACAAGACACCAGGAATCTTATCCCACCTTGAAGGGTGTTTTCAGGGTCTTTAATAGCGCGAGTTTTCGTCTTGCTGTTATACGGCGGAGGGATGGATATCTTAACGAGTTGCAGTTGGCTGGCTGGCTTTGCTACAAAAGACTAATACGGAGGCAAAAAGCCATTTGCCCCCAGAACAACCCACATCGGGTTCAGATCGGGGCTTTTTTGCGGCTATTTTTCCCTTTATTTTTTTTCTTGGAGGGCTAAGTTTTTCTGCCAGACCGAGTCCTACAAAGGAGGGGCAAAGTAAGCTTAGAAGTTCTCCGGTCCCAACTCTTTCTGAGTCGGGGCAACGCGTGCTTATGCTTGTCCGCCCAGAAGTAATTGCTGCTGAATTCGATGGGGATACGCCGCAGGGGCATAGGTTGGCAGCCTTCGGCTTCAGACTCTTCAAACGGCTTGCCATCGGCGCGTTATCAGTGCCGCGGCGATCGTAAACCAACGGAGTTAAATAAAATAGATCTTATTTATCGCAACCATAGATTCTTCCACCCTCATCAAAAAGTTCTCCAGCGTTTAAACGATGGACAATAAACACGCGCGCAATGAAGCCACGAACGGAAATACTGGCCGGCGAGCCTGAGTTTCATTTTCAATCAGAATCTGATTATTAGCGGGGAAGCCCTGTCGGTCCTATGGAGTCAAGGGAAAGGGACCTCGGAAGCGGGCCTTCTCGGTGGTGGCCTCGCACCTCGGAGTAACCAGCCGCTCCCACGGTTTGGGCCATGGCCCCTTCTCTGCTTTCGTTTCAAAACGCAGCGCAGACCGTCCTTGAAGCAACCGCCCCAGAGAGGTAGTGTTTTATCTAATTCCGCAACGTGTGTTTGATGTCTTTGAACATGTTGTAACAGATAAGTTATGCTATGTAAGTTTAATTGATCCGACCAGAATCGTAGGAGACGCCGCCATATATGGATAAATAAATAAATCAGGTGCAACACTTATTCCTCAGGAAATTTTGATTGCTTCACACTTTTTCTCAAACATAACTAGTAACTTGAATCGCTTCACACTATTTCTCAAGCATGACTAGCAACTTGAATTGCTTCAGCTATATCTGAAACATGACTAGTAACTTGAAACAGTTGAAACTTATTTTGGTCTTGATTGCTTGGTGCTGTTATGAATTCACACACTAGTCTACATTTTAAACAGTTTTCTGCCCCATTGGAACAAACAAGGCATAAAAATTGTCTGTTGAGTTCCATTATATTTAAAAGTATTAGACTTTTTTGGATATGCCATACTTTGACCTAAAATAATGTGAAAAACAATCACATCTATGAATAACTCATGGGTTTCAAATATTTTTGAATATCAACTGGAACATTTATGCTGGAAAAAATAATATACATCATAGCCAATCATATAATTAGAGCATAGACACATTATCCTCTAAAACATTATCCTAGAGCTCTCGTTTATATGCTTTACATAAGGAAATTCAAGAGTAGGAATTTTTACAAAACACTTGCTTATACAGATGTTAAAACCATCCAAATACATGATATATTCTCTTGGAAGAAAACACACATACTCTTCCATCAAATAAATATAAATTGGTTGTCAACTTAGCTTTGGACATATAATTAAGGCAGAAAGATCCATAGATCTTGAGGAAATAAATTGATGGACAAATCCTTGGATATAAAACAGCAGGATTGTACACTGAAATTTGCAAAAGTAGAACTTGTTAGATTGAATGTTAATTTATTCAGATTTTTTTAAAAGTTGGTTTAAAAGGAATTGAATATCAATTCAAGCAGGGAGAAAGTAAATCAGCTTGTGATCTGTGGATTCAAAGGTCATGGCAGCCTTTGTAAGTCGGTGATTCTTGGCCTACAACTTCATATGATAAAAGTCACATCATATAAAATCAGCAGGACCCAGCAGAGCTTAATCTCTAACATGTTTGTGGAGGGAGGTGGGCAGAGAGAGAGAAAGCCTGGGAGCCTAGCGGGACTTCAGCCTTATAGGAATGATGGCTGTGCAGTGTTTGGGAGCACATTCCAAAAAGGTGC